TTTTTCTACCGTATATATCTCACGTTGAAATGCTCCGTAATGGTTCACTAATGTGTCAAATATTTTGTTACGGTGACAAGATGTGACCGTTGGCCCTCTCCACGCGACAGTTAGTCGCTAGGCGCGGGCACGCCTGCATCGGTATGCCGCACATTTAGTTCCGTAGTGAGGCACATGTGCACGGCTATCCCTTGTACAGGTGGAGGGAAAAATAAGGTAAGGTCTGGCCTATGTTTAAAGGTGGGTTTATAACATTAGCAGTGGTTTAGATAGGATGTTTGTAAGATGGTTTTGGGGTAGCTCTTGACAAGATGATAGATTGCGGGGGTCTGAAGGGCTCGAGTGTTTGAAATACATGTACTTTCCCCTCTTCACTAGGGTGATATGTACACATTATTCGTCACTGTTCCGAGTTAGGCTGGATACCATGATACATGTTTAATGGTTGACTGTTGTGAACATTCCATTGGGAATTAGTTATTGTCAGCAGCCACAATTTTACCGGGGAAGCTTTTACAGAACGTTTTAGTCCAAATGCAATTGCTTCACGAAAATACTGGTAGACACAGCACTCAAAAGGTTCTTCCTGGTTGGCCGAGCCTGTTCTTGTATGGTCTAAGCTTATCATGAGACTTAGTACAACGCATCTTGTAATTGTATACATTTTCAACTGTTTAAAAGTTTTAAAATATTATGTCGTACACATCGACAAACCTTAATATCAGCACCAGCTATGGTGAGGTCCGATCTAAAGTCCTTGCGGCTGACTCCAGTATGAGGGTTAATACATAGAACCACCTGTATTTTAGTCCAATTTCCGGTGTTTGTTTTCGTGTCTTTCCCCCTTTTTTTGTCTCAACCATTATTGCTACTGTTCTATTTAGGGATAAACGTAGTGTTCGTGTGTTTTCAAACTGTATTGTATCCTTTTGTGAACTATAGATACACCAGTACAGTACAGTTTGCCGGCCGCTCTGTCCTCCTCTAGCGGACCAACACCCTGGCATGTTATCTGTCTATTTGGCCAGTTTCTACTCTTTCTAGCCGCCCCTAAAGCCTGGTAGAGGATATATACAGACGGGCCGCACAAAAAGCCATTAGAGTTCGGCAGAGTCTTGCTTGTTGCTGTTGCTGCACATCATCTAGATTGGTTTGTCTGAGTTACGTGTACCCCACCTGCATTTCACACAAACCTGTCGTTTGTGTTCAGTTAACAACAACAGAACGTTAACACCGTTCTTTACAGTCTGCTGCGTTCGTATCTTAGTACAGCAGGTTACAAAGAAGGAAGGGGCTTTTCTGTGCTGACCACCTGCCGGCATATTTCTTTACGAATCACGTGTAGAGATGTATGCTCACTGCAACAGACCGTGTTTTACAAAACAGGAAAAGAAGAGCGAGGCTTCAAGACCTTTGGCCTGTCAATCTACCCCCACCCACGCGCTTTCAACCTACACTGTCCGGACAAACAGATACACAAACCCACAGCTCAGCCACCCAAAACGATACTTCCGTAATCTATAGTAGTAAGCAACACTAAAAGCATTGTATTGTATCCAGAACCGTGCCTATCTAGTTCTGTGCCTGAATGGATAAGATCAGGCACGGTCCGGATAGTCTCCGCATACCCAAAAACTTAGATTTATCCCATGTACGGTTCTGGATACCCGCTAACCATACAGAACGGTGCCTGAGCTTGGTTCTGGATAACTTGAGCTAGGTTCTAAATAGAGCTGTATCGCCAAGCTAGAAACTTAGCTCTTTTCGTGGCATGCTACATTGTAGTACCTCCCTCTGCCACATTTGAGAACCTTAGCCCGTGTAAAAAAAAAATCACATATCAGCGTTCCGCACAAAATAAACGTCGCCGCTCCAAGATGTCTGCGAAGGAGGCTGAGATCCTTCGCGGTTCGTTCTACGACAAAGTCCGTGCGGTCTTTGGCGTTATGTAGGTCGGCCTGGTACCATAATCCTTCTCCATGGACCCGTAACAGGACATGGAAGTATGTACGTCTGTACCTGCTTGTCTTGAGGAATAAGACTGGCAGGTTCGTGTGCTCACATGTCAGCAGTCGGCATGGGGTGGCCATCTTAAAAGAAAAATCCAGTGTTTGCGATCTTTTAATCATTCAAAATGGGCAATTTTGAGAGAATCAATTTTCGCGAATCATTTTGGGACTTCGGATGCCAATATATTGATTATACTTCCATGTACACTTTCATAAATCTATAAATTCGTTACTTCTTTGTTAGTGTTCACAAAGTGAAGTAGGACATTGCGCTGAGAAAATAGCAAAGAAAGGACCGTATAACACAGTGGTCAGACTTAGTGCGTTATGTGGGTTCTTCTAAACTGTTTGTTTTCAGTGGCTATCGATGCGTACAAAGTCAAAACCGCGGCAGTAAAAGAGAGTGGTTTTAAGGTGGTTTTAGGGTCTTAAGAGCACCTGCTGCTTTGTGAAGGCTTTATAGTTCATGCATGGTGAGAGTGTCTGTTGTTTTGCAGTAGCGTTCCGATTCATTCTTAGCCCGGTTACCAAACCTATTATAGCTCCCGAGTCCTACATCCTCTCTGTAAATAGATTTGTGTTGAGGATGTAGAACTCGGGAGCTGTAGTAGGTTTGGTAACCGGGCTAATTCATTCTGTGCATAGCAGGTGGTACTACATCCGTCCTGACAAACTTTTAGATTCGTATGAACTTAACGTTCCACTATGTCTCAACAATACATCTTACAGCATGTATGTATGTAACACTAGTAGCAATACGTTTTTGTCATGCAGGGCACTGGGCTGTCTGATACGCGATTTGAAATCTAGAATAAAATTGAGTCTTTCACACAGTGTTTACAGCAATTCTCCCAATTGCTTAAAAGCCTTCACTGTTTTTCAAACATTTTGACACCCCACAGTTTCTAGTATACACTGTATACAAGCCTTTGGACCCCCGTGTCAACAGTATAGTGACAGTTTGTTTGGCTGAAAAATGGAGGAGTGACATGTATAACCGATGGAGAACGCTTGTAACTATCAACTGTTTGTGCGCACACGTTCGACCTGTTTTCACAAACTCTTAACGTGGTCGGGACAAAAACGTCCAAATCTTCGCCCGGCAGGCTTGTAAACTCCAACCCAGTCTGCAAACAACAAGATGAATAAGAGATTACAGTGAGATTATGGCGTTTCGAAGGGCTAATAGTAACGTATGCAAAGCTAGAGGAAGTATAATTCTACTAGTATTTCCGAAGTTGCTTTCCGTTCACCTGTCCCAGCTTCTGATGACTCAAATCCAATTTGGAGAGTAAAATAGTGATGTATATTCGAGTACGTACTACATGTATATACCTCATAGACAAAGGCCTTAGCTAAAAGTAAAAGGACAGTTTAGTCTATAGGCGTATCCGTGGCATTGTTTACACAGCCAGAAACATGTTAAGTCACGAACGACAAACAGATTTGTGGAGGATTTCGCGGTCGTTTGTTGCCGCGCGGCACGCCGCCACCCGCAGACGATAGGTCTGCTGTTTGTTGTTTCAGAGAGATAAACTCTCTCATTGTGGAGATAATCTTCTCTCGCAACGCCTTCCAACGTGTGGCGCATAGAACACCGGAGAATTGCGGTTAAGGATCGTGACTGTTCGGTGAGGGTTGTTCTGCGTTTTCTTAGCGTTGGAAGGTTGAAGAAACAAGTGCATGCCACAGTCAAGTTCTGCTTGCTTGGGTGCAAAGAGGCCGAAGCGAGACACAGCCAGTGCTAGTCACCGTGTAACACGGGCATATTCCTAGCGAGAACAGGTAATGGGTGGGGGATTTGACGTTAAGATGACAGAGAACAATATTGTGGTTTGTTCTGTCAGCGGAGAAGCCACGTTCTATCCTGCCTTGTACGGACAGGAGTAGTGACTACGTGCCGCCGGTCGCATTCCATTGTCTGTGGACCTGTTAGTAGCGCCAACGGACTGTGGTCTTAGGAATCATGGTAGATGGTAGAATTTGCATAGGTTAAGTTTGAAGACCTCGTGCCTTATTAACAATTTAGGGTGTGTCTCTTCCTATGTGATAGCTCCCAACTAGATCTTGCTATCAATTATGTATAGGATTGTTTGCTTGTATAAGAAACAGTGTAGAATTTACAATGGTGGATGTATGTTGGCATGTTTCCCTCAGTGTCACTTTCTACAATGTACTGTTGTATCATGCCATGTAGGGTATGGGTGCCACTGTAAGTAGGGTAGACCTACACAGTCATGGTAGAATAAGAGAATATCAGAATTACTGAACTCTTTATTTGAAGTGCTTGCAAAAATGGCAGAACTTATACACAGAAAGCCTAAAACGTTTCCGAGTGTTCGATATTATTTGACTGATCTGGAACACCATATTATCTATTTACAAAGTATCATTATGTAGTATGGAGGCTGCATAAATGCAGACGTATGTTGAACATGTCTTATCTTACCTTATCATTTGAAGTGGCAAAACGTTTATAGCCGTCCGTTTATTCTTACAGGGTTTTAGTAATTCAGAAGTCATTGACAGGCACCACATGCGACAAGGATGATGCGTTCATCGGTGACCAATATCCGGGTAAGAAACTCTTTTTGAGAACCTTTGATATCAATATATAGTTCATTTTAAAACACGTGCCAAAACAAGCTATGCAAGACAATAACATAGTGTTGGTCAGGCGATTAAGGCGAATCAGTCCGTCCATTCTTCTGCATTGTGAAGAACCTTAGAAAAACACCTGGTCGAGTCAGTCTTTAATAGCAACAGATGTTACATACACATCGCTGTATTGTTTTAGATCTATGTAACAAAAAGAGGATACTATACATCGTATGATTAAGGGGATGTTTTGCTCTCGGATGATAAGATAGTCCTGTTGTTATTTTACTGTCTTGCTGGGCACTTTTTACTCTTCCTTAACTTGAAAGTGAGAAATTTGAATAATCTGTGTCTCATACCTGTTTTCATCTTGTTCCCTCATTCAGGAAAAGGTAGAAAAATGTGACGCGTTCCTGCTCTTCTACAAGAAGCAAGCGTAGATTGGTAGAGGTGGACGGTAAAAGTGGGGCTCAGAACGCCAGAGAACACGTCCAGCGGTCAGGATGTATTCAGGCAGCGTACAGGACAAAAAGGTCCCTGGTGTGGCGGGGGCAGGGGCAAGGTAAGGACTCCGGTACATCGGTTACCCAGGTTTCCTGGGTAACCGATGTACAAAAATATCACAGATGACAACATAAGATATTCATTTAATAACATTTACCACATTTTCAAAATGTCAACGCTAAAGCTCCAGCTTTACGTCCCATCCGAGAGGACGTTTCTAACTGACGCCTGGTATTTTTTTTCACCCGAGTCGACGAAGTAGAAACCTTCCCAACCAAGACTAGCAAAACATTATGGGCTGCCAGAGATCCAACCCCTGAACCTCCAGACTTTAAGCCAATAACCCTAAGCAGAAGCTCATCTTATCAGATCTAAAGTACTCCGGTGCCGCTTATCAGCAATAGTGTAACCATAATGACCGGCGTACTGTGTACGTACAGGGTTCTTTGTACATGTAACGCTTTTCTAACTACTGTACTCTTTTTTTTTTCATCTACAGATACGCTAAGAAAAAGATAAAGTCCTCCAAGAACGGCTGGGTGGGGATTGACGAAAGTGACGCCAAACTGGCAAATCAGGACATAGATGACGACCTGTCCCACTCACTGGACAGGTAAGAAGCATATTATAACTTTACTATAGTTAACAAACGACGAACTGTTCACATACATAATGTCATCGTCTAAACACCTGGTGATTGAGAAACTCTGTGAATTCGTGTACGCATGTTTCAAGAGGAGAGAAGAAACTAGTAAGCTATTGTAAGCTTTAGAGTTAGATGAATTATAGTATACAGTAGATGTTAGTTTTGTTTTGTTTTTCTTCTTATACAATTCCCTATGTACTAGTAACTAGTATCATACAGTATGTTAGGTCACCCGATGCATTTAGCCCGGAAGGGCATGAATATGCAATAAACATCATTGTCATTGTATGCTGACTATTCATTTAATCTATTAATGACTATTATTATTATTTATTTATGACTATTCATTTAATCTCTAACTGTCCATTTTATGACGACATCAGAAATCAATTATTTACCACCGTGTCCAAAATGCTGCCTTACTTCCCCACCATTCCTTACCACAAAAAAACAATTTTACTACTAAAATCAAAGAACCCACATATTATAGAAGAAGTGGGTAAATTCGTCTTCCATTGCCTAAAAAGAAGAAGTCAAACCCAGTAAAACTAGTGTCATGTCATGTTGTAGAATATAGTATAATGTTAGAAGTAGATATAGATATAGTCACATACCACTGTATTTTCTTTCTATGTTGTTTGTAACTGCAATTAGCCCTCGGGCAAGTATTTGCAATAAACTTTCTATGACTATAGCTAAAATGTCCAGATTACCAGAGAAACCTTACATGGGATTTAGTTCTCAGGGCCTTTTATTGTCTATGTCTAACCGTATGTCAACAAGATACTCGTACTGTGTAGTAAACTATATGTGCATTTTTGGCGACGCCTCAGGGTGGATCCGATAGTGCTTTCCGCCTTGCGCCCTCCTAGGCCTTTTGATATTGTATCAAGAGATAAAGGGCTGTCCTACGCTTTTAATTTGTATAATTCATAGGGTATAGAATTTTCTTCTTACACAACCATAGGGTTTCTCACCTGCTTACGTTTCGATGTCTATCAGACACCTTCCTCAGAGCTTCTGACTGGAGTTCTGCAACTCGCCGCTATTTAACGCCCAAGCTCAGCCACGTTTGGGATTGCATTCTCGCCGCAAAAGCGCCACTTACATTGGCGTTAAATAGCGGCGAGTTGCAGAACTCCAGTCAGAAGCTCTGAGGAAGGTGTCTGATAGACATCGAAACGTAAGCAGGTGAGAAACCCTATGGTTGTGTAAAAAGAAAATTCTATACCCTAAGTATCTTCCAACCTGCTACTGAAATTATTTATGTATAATTCATCTTTTACATACTAGTAAAAAAGATGATTTTAGACCCTGGACACACGTGACCTACAAAATAGGCGTTCGTTAAACACCTTTCTTGTTTTTTGTACCCCTTTTTGTACCGTAGGATCCACCTCCAGAAGTACCGCACGATGATAGAGAGAACCTACGACACCAGAGGCATCAGGAGACAGCACACCGACCTGTCCATCCAGAGGGACATCGCTCAGAAACTCGACCTCGACTCCGCACTGAGCAGGCCGCCGCGGTCAAAGCTCGAACGGCCAGGGAGCAGCTCCCTAGCGGATTCCGGCAGGACTGCAGCTGGGAGGAGACCGAGAACGGCAACGTCGACTAGCGGCAGGCAGAAGAATCGCAGGAACGCCACGGCTGTCGCTCCGAACCGTGAGCGTTTGCTACGAACCAGAAGCGCAGCCTCTTTTAGTGGAAAATCAGAATCAGACGAGAAACGAGAGAGGACTTTTTCAGTGGACTCAGAACTTTCAGAGATCTCAAAAAGTGGGAGTAGTGAGACCAGTACTAGTACTGAAGCGGACAACATGAGTGTTGTTACTGCGGGTACGCAACCTAGACTACTAAGGAGAAACAGGCCGAGTACGGTCTCGGGTGACAGAGTACTCGAACGTACAAATAGACACCACAACGATCCGTACTATGGAAAATCTCCCTACACATTGACGACGTCAACGTATTCGTTATCGGGAGCTGCACTATCACCTAATGCCATTAGGGGGCGTCCCAGACCGAAGACAGCCGTTCCGCCGACTCGGGCCACATTAAGAAACTCACGGGCCGAGGCCCAGTCTTTAAGACTATTGAAATCTAAGACACACATAGACGAACTACTTGGATCTGAGATAGAAGCCAGGAGAAAAGCCTTGGAGGAACAGAGGAAAGCGCTGAAGGAGGAGACGGAAAGAAAACTTCGAGAAAAGGTGGAAAACTTTTGCCAGAGATTGGACGAATTTAAGAAACAGCAGAAAGACGAAGCAAAGATGTTCCGACCGAACTTAACAAAGTTTAATTTCGCAGACTTTTAGTGCTTAGCGTAGAATAAGATTTTCAATGTTTATTTGAATTTTCCATATGCTACAATGGAGTGGAAACAAGACAAGTGATAAAGATTGTCTTAAGTTTACAAACTGTCTCCCTGATAAAAAGAAACAAATGTGAAGAATTTGTGAGGAAAAATCCCATTAAATGGGTGAAAGTTTCATGTACAGCGCATGGTTACACGGTTTTAAACTTTCTTACTTGTCACCAAATGTACTCAAATGCAACATTCAGAAACAGAGTAGGTACATACAAACTGTATCATGTAAAGATAGATATCGCTGTACTCATAAACGCAATTAAGACAGATTTATTTAGCCTGACTTTAAAATAACATTCATTGAGGTGTATTATCATATCATACATTGTCACATTGTCATGCCATGTCATGTCATGTTATATCACATAATATAATATCTACGTAAACCATTCTCATCTTTGATCCTCATTTTCATCACATGTACAACAGCTCGTACCACACAGGAGACACCTGTCACACATTCAGAACCTTCTCACGAAAACCAATTTGAGTTAAATTTGAGTCAAATTTGAATGTCAACAACACCCCGACGTACGCCCCAACTCCAGCCAAAGATGGCGTAACCTCCCGAATGTTTCAGAATGTCTGATACACGAACATTAGCCGACCTCGCTAAACACCAGCCAACCACCCCCGACATTGCCCCGACCCTGCTCGATGGTTTGGGGGTGGGGGGCTTCGGTGGTGTTCAGGGGGCCACATTCGATTATGTGTGACAGGGCCCATAAGAAATCTGTGAATAACGTTTTGTTCGAAGATGAGTATTGCAGCATATCAAAGACGTGGCTTGGTCGGTTCTACAAGAACGAACGCCGAGAATGTGAGGAACAAATACCTGTGATCGTGGGGAAGGTGAACAAGGCCCAATCTCTCAACACAAAGGGTTTTGCTTGTGATTTTCAGGGACGGGTCAATCAACATTACACAGAACGTGATCATCCCTTCGTACTCATGACAAGCTCTGCCTACATGGTGTTTGATATGAGCCTGACACAGAGCTACATCTCTACAGTGTACATCTACGTGATACAATCTTCCCCTTGGTGTCATATAACTGCCACCAAAACTCAAACTCTTAGCTGTTGGTTCAATAGTGTCGACAAGAATAATGACACCCCGCTTTGAAAACAAATGTAAGTTAGAGGCACTGAGCTGATACGGGTCCCAATCTACAAAAATATTATTGTCAACTAGGACCTGCTTGGAGAACTCTGGCCTTGCCAGCCGCGCCATGTCGGAAGGTTGGTAGGGCACTACTGGTGGGTGTGGAGGAGATGGAAGAACGTCCTTGGTTTCCAAACTATCCAGCACTTCGTTAGACTTGCCTTGGAAGTACATGGCATCCTGGAATTAGAAAGGATGGTTACTTTAAGGAGGCTTTGAAAATTAACTACATATTATTAATGACAACAGTGTCTATACATGTATTTGTTCAAATGATCATCATGGGTTAGGGAAAGTGTGTGTAAGTAAGTGTTTGAATGTGTGTGTTTGTGTGTGTGTGTTTGTGTGTGTGTGTGTTTGTGTGTGTGTGTGCGTGCGTGTGTGTGTGTTTGTGTGTGTGTGTGTGTGTGCGTGTGTGTGTGTGTGTGAGTTTTTCCAGCTGGTTTCTATGTTCTGGTCATCTAGTGAGACTGTCTCGAGGCTGTCTCTAAGCTGGTTTACAAACTGCTGTTTTATTTCGTCATTCTTCAGTTTACTGGTGTTGAGGCGTTTTGCAGGTTTCATCCCCTGTGGGCGCCTCTTGGGTTGTATGCGGACACGCAGCTTGATCTTGATCAGTCCAGCATTCAGCGCCACACATAGACTTGGTAATACACACATCTTGTCTGTCTTTCTGGTGAACTTGAAGAAGGTGTACGGTCACGTGGTGGCCAAAAGAAGAGGTACAAGGACTCTCTTAAAGTATCCCTGAAAGCCTTCAACATAAAGGCAGACTCGTGGGAAAGACTTGCCAGTGACCGACCACTGTGGCGACGCACAGTTAGAGAGGGTGCCGCTACCTGTGAGAAAGCACGCAGAACTGCCGCACAGCAGAAGAGACGAGCCAGGAAGGAGGGTGCAGCCGGTCCTGTGGCGAACACTGCTCTGTTCTCCTGCCCGCACTGTGAGCGCCGGTTCCGGGCGAAAATTGGACTCTACAGTCACCTGAGGACACACCCTACTACAGAGGGATGACAAAGCGGTCCTCGTCAACCTGACGGACGAACGACACGGTGTGTGAGTACATTCATGTGAATTAGTGCACACACTGTGAGTCCATCTAGCTATATCATATGTTAACGTCTGCACTCAATACAGAGAGAAAATACATGTGAAACAGAAGGGATACTTGCTATATAACAGATCTCCTTCACGTTCGGAACGACTTTTAAAAGGTAGGGACGCTCGACATCCGTCAGGGTGTGTCGCTTTAGCTGCAGCAGCCCAGGATGTACACGTAGCCGCAAAGCTTTTTCATATTCAAGAATCATCTTCGTCATAAACTTCTTCCCCCGCAGTTCTGGGACTATCCGGCCGGTTTTTCGCAGCAGATTTGCACCGCCGTCAGTTATAATGAGCACACTCAATAGAATCTGCAAAGGGAACATTGTCAGAAATTACTTCAAAGGTATTATTATATTCAAACACTTCTTGGGACAAAAACAAACAAACAAACTAAAAAAAGGCACGTGCTAGACGCCTTTCCATGCCTCCGTGTAGGGGCCTCATACTACATTGTACCTCTAACAGTTATAGGTACTAGGTTGCCAGTAACTTGGCACATATTAAACGACATATATAAAGTTTGACATATATGAAATTTGGGGTAAGTCCCAATTCTATATCTAGTGTTGGAAGTTAAAGTTCAGTCTTTATTTCATAATGATTTGTACCAACACAGATGAACTTTCATGCTATGACATATATGAAGGTTAAGATAAAGACAATGACAACTAGAAATGCCGCATTTGTTGTGGAGGAAATACAACATATATTTCATATACATGTATGTCATACCCCTCACCATGGTATGACTGGTATATAATAACGTACCAGTTTGTCCTCAGCTTCCGCTACTAACATTATGACTTCCGGGTCGTCCACCCATTGGTGAAACTTGGCGGGCAGGTAGTCGAACCCGTCCCGGAATGTGTCTACTGACGCCATGTTCATGACGGCGTCGTAGTCACTGTGTGTGGCTTCACGGTAAGTCAGGTGGAAACTGTCTTGGTTCGCCTGTAAAACCAATTTACAAATCATCACAGTTTATGGACTGTCCGACACATTTAAAACATAGATTATAAGATACAATGTAACATAATAAACATGTCGGGGTTTCCCGGTCCCGAACGCTCTCCCTACAACCCACTTTATCCGTCGTGTCACTAGCAAGGTGAGCTGTGTTAGGCCGAGACAAATCATCTGACCTTTGTACAAACTTACCATGAGGAGGCGATTATTTCATGCGGTAGTCAGTTATTTTAAGACGATGTTCAATAAAATCGCAGACTTACCATGACTTTCTTTGATTTCGTAGGTAGACAGACACACCATTCCGCCCAGCACCTCCACGAAGCACGTCCACCTGTGCTCGAGTGAACTCCGACCCGGAACCGGAAGGGGAAACTGACCGACCGTGAACTTGGCACAATGCCTAGACCGTTGCATAACGACATTGAACCTAACAGTAGTACTAGATAGAAATATTAGCGGTTGCTAATATAGACAGGTTCGCAACGTAGTGTATTAAGCTAAATCGGCTACTAGTATTTAAGGTCTCATACGCCAATTTCGCTGTCCCATAGACTTACACCTTAAAATACGTAACTATTTTGGCTGTCTTCGTTCGCCTGTAAAACCAATCGTCAGATTCATCACAGTTTATTGACACATCAGATAACATAGATTTATATGACGTCTTTTTATGAGAGTACGTTGTATCTTGTAATCTATATAAATTTCAATGAGGGCTTAGAGAAGTTGTTGGAGCTCATCCCAGGCTAGTCTCCCGACCTTGGTTGGGTAGTAGTCGGTATGGAAGTTGTAGGAAGGTCCTGAATATGTGACCGGGGCTTTATCCTTAAACTAGTGACCTTTCTACCATTTTGTTGCGTTTCGTGCAACTGTGAAGTTGGTCGCCCAAGACAAGTCAACTGCGACCTTTGTACCAGAATGACGGCTGTTCTGTTACATAGAAAAGTCGCTCATTTTAACGATATTCAGTAAAGACGCCGACTTACCATAACCTCTCCGTGTGTCGTCTTGCTGACGTGAAAGAGTTTATTTTACAATTTCGTAGCTAGGTCGGCTGGCACCCCATTAGCAAACTGAGACAAATTCCGCCATGCATTTACACGTACATACTTTTAACGTTCTGGTCAAAGCTCACATCTGACCCGGAACGGGAAGGGAAGCTGATCCGACCGTGAACTTTGCCTTGATACCTTAGCTTGATAGCGAGAGTGAACCAATCAGCAGTTTCAAATGTTGGCCGTTGGCGGTATGAGCATGCAACGTTTCGAAGCACATTGCAGTTTATTTTAAGGTACTAGAAATATCACTTTATTCATCAAACGCAACCAGACAACGTTACTCAGTCCAGCGTATGCATGAAATAACATTTATTTTCATATCATATCGTGTCATATCACATTATATAATATTTGAGTAAACCATGCTCGTATCTGATTGTTTCGCCTTTTCATCACAATAGCTACCACACAGAAGAATTCTCACATAACGGTGTGCATATCAGGCTGAGTACCCTAACTCACTGGTTTACACCAGACAGAGAAATACGTACGGTCTTGTGGTTTAAAGGCGTGGCTTAGTCAGTTCCAGAAGAACTGTGAAATACAAGTCATGACAAGCTCTGCCTACATGGTGTTTGATATGAGCTACATCTCTACAGTGTACATCTACGTGGCACACTCTTCGATATTCGACTATGTGTGACAGGGCCCCTAGGAAATCTGTGAATAACACTTTATAGAAGATGAGTATTGCAGCATATCAAAGGCGTGGCTTGGTCGGTTCTACAACAGCTGGCACCATGAATGTGAAACACAAGTACCTGTGATCGTGGGGAAGGTGAGCTAGACCCAACTTCTCCACACAAAGGGTTTCGCTTGTGGTTTTCAGGGACGGGTCAATCAACATTACACAGAACGTGATCATCCCTTCGTACTCATGACAAGCTCTGCCTACATGGTGTTTGATATGAGCCTGACACAGAGCTACATCTCTACAGTGTACATCTACGTGATACACTCTTCCCCTTGGTGTCATGTAACTGCCACCAAAACTCAAACTCTTAGCTGTCGGCTCACTAGTGTCGACAAGAATAATGACACCCCGCTTTGAGAACAAATGTAAGTTAGAGGCACTGAGCTGATACGGGTCCCAATCTACAAAAATATTATTGTCAACTAGGATCTGCTTGGAGAACTCTGGCCTTGCCAGCCGCGCCATGTCGGAAGGTTGGTAGGGCACTACTGGTGGGTATGGAGGAGATGGAAGAACATCCTTGGTTTCCAAACTATCCAGCACTTCGTTAGACTTGCCTTGGAAGTACATGGCATCCTGGAATTAGAAAGGATGGTTACCTTAAGGAGGCTTTGTAAGTTACTACGTATAACGTTATACTACATATTTTTAATGACAACAGTGTCTATATTTGTTCGAGTGATCATGATTGAGGAATATGTGTTTGTGAGTAAGTGTGTGTTTGAATGTGTATTTGTGTGTGTGTGTGTGTGTGTGTCTTATCGTGCACACTGTGAGTGTATCTAGCTATATCATACGGTATGCATTCAATACAGAGGGAAATCATGAAATACATGTGAAACAGAAGGATACTTGCTATAAAACAGATGTTCTTCCGGTTCGGAACGGCGTTTAAAAGGTAGGGACGCTCGATATCCGTCAGGGCATGTCGATCTCGCTGCATCAGTCTCGGATGTACATGTAGCTGCAGAGCT